CTGGAGAGCTGACCGGGAATGTAGCTCTCCAGCAAGGGAGCTGGCCAAAGAGAGATTGCAAGGGAGACTAGATTGAGGTCACTATAGGAAGTGGCCCTGGGAAACAAACAATGTAGTTTGGAATTCCAGGCAGACAGCCTATGGCATTAGGGTCTCGGGGTGGAAACCTATAGGACAGGGAGGGAAAGTGGGCATTGGTCCCCACCTATGGCACTATTTAGAGAGGTGCATGGAAACACCCTGCACCAGTGGGGTAAACAAGGGCACTGAAAAACTATTTGAAGCCTGGTGGAAGAGTATACAAAAAGAAAAGCTACAGCTTGGGGAAAACTGACCTTTGAAGCAGGGCTGGGATCCTGTAATGAAGCTGAAAGGAAGGATTATGCTCATTTCAGAACTTCATTTTACTCTGAAAGAGGGGTGGACTTTTGACCAGAAGGTCAAAAAGTGTTATGGTAGCCTGTAAGTTCATGGAAGATAAATGGCAGTGAGGAAACTGAGGCGGCATTGACCTCCAAAGCCAGATGGAGTAAGATGCTGCTATTACAAGGAATAATAATTTCTCTGAAATGACATACACATTTATAATTGTGCATTTTAATTCATACCCTTTTACTGTTAGCATACCGATCCACCCAGAAATGAAAAAAATGTATCAAGAAACTTTCCATTACACATACAGGGCCTGGCTCTGCAGGCCCTTTATACCATGAATGTCTCATGGGATTCTGGGGCATTTCCATGTAAATTGAAATGACTATTGAGAAAAGGTTTTCAGGATTGGACCTGTATGACAGTAAACATTGAATCTCTGACATTTTATAGATTTCCTACCAAGTTTAAGAAGCAGTACTGACACTTTCTGAAGAACTTAAGTTTCAGCTGAATAAACTCATTCTTTACAATCAAATATTCAAAGAAGTAAAAGTGACTACTGTAAATGCCTTCTGGTTATTAATGGGTTTTCAATGCTCCTCACTTTCAAGACAGATGAAACATTCCTTCCACAGTACTACAGTCTTTCTATGAAAATATTTTGTTATGAAACATACCCAAAATATCTTGAAACTCATCATCAGCCTGTATATTTTTTCCCTTTGCTCGCTTCTTTCCCATATTAGTGCTTTGTAGTTTTCCTTACACAGAACCTAATGGGGAAAAAAAACATTAAAGTCAAAACTAGATTTTGATTCTGCTTGTAAGAGGTTATACAAAAGGTAGCAGCAATCAGACAAATTTTAAATTAGCTGAATTTCAAGGGGACATGAATTCATAATATTTCTGTACTTTACAGCTAATACACATTTTGACCCCACTTCTGCAACCAGATCTGAGCTCTGAGGTCTATGGGACTCCACAAGGCTCCAGAGGTCCGCAATTTGTAAGAGTGGGGTCTAAACAGTCAGCAAAATTCCCCTACACTTTTTATGGCTCACCTTAATGGAGTACGGCCACAAAAGTTTTAGGAGGCAACTGTCATATTATTAGTTTATCATATTTAAATACTGACGATACTTATTTAATGAACTCTCTACTTTTGATTTATTGGAAATTCCTTTTTTTTATGACTTGCTCAGAAACATTAAATAAATTGTTATTCTAGCAGCATTTGACAATATACTGGAGATTCAGATTTTTTGTGGCATTGATGTCTCTTCAATGCTGGGAGATTTCAGTTTTCGTATTCATAGAACTATCTAGTAAATAATGCAATTTAGAACAACTGTTTGAGTATACCCTTAGAAAGGGACCTAGAGAGGCATCAGTCTCTAACATCATGACAGAGCCTTAAGCAAACTGTGCATTTATGTTTGTCTTAAATAATAATAATAATAATTTAAAAAATCAGGTACTGTATGTATGGTTTAATGTATATAACAAGAAAAAGCACAAGAGTAGCTGAATTCAGAGGGGACACCCCCCCCAAGAAAGGTCAGATATCAGACCTTTGGCATGGAAAGAAATTCCAACCACATTCTCAAAAGGACAAGTTTACCCAGGTAGTAACAGATTTAAAGATTAAAAAAAAATTATTAAAGTTAATGTTTAAAATCAAATTTACACAAGTTAAGAAGGAAGGTACTGTACATCTGAGGTAAGGCTTGAGTTATGAGGGATTACAAGTGTCAGTTACAAGGTTCATAAGATATATACATACCGCATAACCAGCATAGACCCAGATTGGGATGCATACTACGTTCATTTATGTGAAAGATGAAGTAGCACTTTAAAGGGTGTGGCAAATTTAACACTCTGAAAATTCAGACTAAAGAAATTATAGATTTGGAAAAGAAATTAGTTACACACTCAAAAATAAAGTTGCAATTGTCAACCTTTAGTTAAATCACAGTCATGCATTTCTAGCCTTGTCCGGGTTGAACTCTATCTTGCCAACAGAATGAGAAGGCAGCTGAGAATAGGTAAGTATTAAACAAATCTATGTTGTGGCTGGGAAGATGAGTCAGACAGGATCTCCTCAACTCTACTAAGCTACAAAAATACTATTTATGTAGTATTAAAGGGTGTGATTTAGACCCAACAGTTTGTTAAGGCACCTGAAAGCCTTTAAAATACACCTGCTGTAGAATAGGAATAGGACATTGACACAGGGGCACTATTTTTAGAAGCAGTTTACCCCACTGTAACTTCACTAATATTTGCGGAGTCTGGTACACTAGGAATAGGACATACCTCTGATACCTACACAGTAGGTGGCAAATGTCCAGTGTAAGTGGTGCCCACTGTACCACGTATACAACCTCTCTATCTCTAGGCATTTCTCCCACCACCACCACCAGGCCTTCACAGGAGACGTATCCCATTGGGAAACACACACACACACACACACCCTCCTCCCCCACAGTGCAGAGTGAGTGTCACGCAGCACAACACGTGTTCTTTGGTCCACATCTGCCCAGGGACCCTGACCAACGAGACCTCGCTGCCATAGGTGCTGGAACTGGGGGTGCTACTGCACCCCGGGCTTGAAGAGGTTGTTATCATATACAGGGTTTACAGTTTGGGTCAATGGCTCTCAGCGCCCCTGCCCGCTGCTATCCCAATTCCCAGCCGCGAGGGACCCCGGGGCAAGGCTGCTCCTGCAGCTGCCCCCCTTCTCCTCCCCGCCCCAGGGCGCGGGCGCACAGGGCTGCCTACCCACGTGGAGGGATGAGCGCCGCGTCTTCCAGCTCCTGCCACCAGCGCTGCTGCTGCAGCCGGCCCCTCCTCTCACACTAACCCAAGCCTGGAGTGCCGCGCACCCCACCTCGCCCGGCAACTCGGGGGCAGCCCGCTGGCTCCGATTGGCTAGTCAGCCTCATCTGAGCCCGCCTCCCACCCGTTACGGACAGCCACCAGAACCAGTAGGAAAGCTCCACAGCCCCAGCCGCGCAGAGTCGGGCCGGGAGCGGACACGAGGCGGCTCAGGCCAGGAGCGTAAGTGACTCAGAGACTGGTGGGGGGATAAGGGAGAGTAAATAACGTGGTGGAGTCTAGAGGAACTCACTGAGCCTAAGTCCCTCACCTGCCAGTGTCGTGAAGCGAGTTGTTTTACGACACATATTTCCGGCTCAGCGTAGTTTTACGGCTCCCGCCCTCTTCCCGTGGCTGAGCTGTTAGAGGGAACGGCTCTTTATCACTTCCGGTGCATTGCATAGTGGGAAACTGGAGGGGGGTTGAGGTCAATCGCCGAGAGACCGCGAATGAGGAAGTGCAAGACCCGCAGCGCATGCGCAATAGCGGAGTGGCCTGTATACGTCCCGGCCCAGGGTGGAGGCGCAGGCGCAGTCGGAGGGGTGTGAGCTGGGGGGTCTGTGCTGGGCTGCGGCTACGTGGGAAGCTGTAGCGCTGCGCGGTGTGAGCTGCGGGGCGGGTTCCGGGCTCACCGCGGTGATTTAAAGCTCAGATTTTCAAATAATGGGGGAGGCAGCGACTCTCTCTGGAGCAGCTTCGGTTGGTGAGAGCTGAGCGCTTCTTCCGGCCCGGGGAAGGTGCCCCAGCCTGGCAGCTGCACGCGCGGCGGGACCGACTGGTCCGCCTGAGTAGTTACAGCGTCTCGCTAAGGGACCGTTCGGGGTAGAGTGGCCCACGGACACTTACCAGACGCTCTAACTACTTATGCTAAACAGTCGGTTCCCCCTTGTGTTTGGCTGTTCCCCAGACCGGAGGAAGAGCTGTGTGTGTCGCTCAGAAAGCTGGTTTCTTTCACCAACAGATGTTTGGTCCAATAAAAGATACGACCTCACCCACCTTCTCTCTTTAATATCCGGGGACTGACACAGCTACAAGTACACTGCTGTGGACTTAGCATAGACTGTGGTTCTACTTTTGAGATGTGGTGTGTGTTTTAAAATTAAAAAATGTAATTTGTTCTTCTTTCTAGAATGGGGCTGCTTCCTCCACTCCTAGGAGTGCTTATTATAACAACTGCCAGTGCTGGAAACCCCATTATGGGGTATGAAAGTCCAGAGAGATTCTTTTGGGTCATGCATCATCACTTGTAAACATTTCTCTAATTAGCATGTAGTTAACCATTTGGTAAAGTTGGAAGGCGTAATAAAATTCATCACACTCTCCCATGTCTATATTGGCTCTGCAGGGCTAATATTAGCAAAATCTTGTAGATGATTTTGTCAATACAGTAAATATGTCTTTGAATGTACAATGAGCAGATCCAATGAGCAAGAATGTCCCATTTCTACAATCACTTTTCTGACCACTTTTCTGCACTTTGATGCTTAAATTGGCACTATATGCCTAATTTCTCCACATATTATTGGAAGGACAGACCCCTAAGCATAGCTTTATCCAGCACTGCAAATACCAAAACAATGCAAATGATGAAATTCAAAACATATCACACTGTGTAAGCCAAAAACATTTGAATGAAAACACAGGGTGAAATCCTGGCCCTATTGAAATCAATGGGATGTCATGAGTGTTCCCATTGATTTAAATAGGGCCAAGATTTCAGCCACCATTTCTATATTGGCCCCATCCTGCAAACCCTTAGCTGATCAGCTCTTATGAGCAATCCCATTGATTTTGGTGGGATTTATATGAATTAATATTACTCACATAAGAGTTGCATGATTGGGCCTTAAACTTGTATTTGTATCTATTAGAATTGTCTTTTCATTTTTCCCTCTAATTTCTTTATTTAGGAAACAGCTAAAACATGGCCAAAATGACTAATTTGGAAGAAGCTGAAGTACAACTTTCTGAGTTAGACCTACTTTCTAGTATGTTTCCTGATGAAGATGAGTTTATTGTGACTGACCAGTTGGCTGTAGCAGAACTAAAACATTATATTGATAATAAGACATCAGAGATCCCATCTTCAAAAGTTCAGTTTATACTGAATGTAAAACAAGAGGTTGCTGATGCCAATATGGTAATGTAGCCATATTTTTGAAAGGAAAGAAAAAAAGACATTTAAGATCAGATTTTAATGCCCTTTTTTTTTCTTTTCTTTTTTTTTAGGTAATGCTTTCTTTATCCTGTGCTTTACCACTTAACTACCCAGCTGTTCTACCAGAAATTACTGTCAGGTACTGCATATTTCTAGACAGGGAACTAAAAGCTAAAATTTACTAGATCAATAAATAATAGCAAGAGACAGCCCCAAAGAGCACACAGTCTAAATAAACACGACAGACAAAGGGTGGGAAGGGAAACAGAGATGCAAAGTAGTGAAGTGGCTTGCTCAGGGTCATGCAGCAGGTGAGTGACAGAGCTGAGAATAGAACATAGGAGTGCTAGCTCCCAGTACAGTGAAATTATTGTGGCTCCATGCGGGCACAGTGATGGTCTTCCAGCGTTGATCATTTTACAGGACCAGTGTCCAAGTAAGGAACATAGGCTCAGATTCCCAAAGATATTTCAGTGGGAGTTAGGTTCCTAAATACCTTTGAGGATCTGGGCCATAGTCCATCGTGACAATGCTTCCAGTTGGTTCTAACTTAAGAAGTGAACGGTTGTTTAATAAATCTCATCCTTCTGCTTGGCAGAATATTGTTACTCACTGACCTGCATTATTTCTGTTTTAGTATTTTTGTTTGTTTCTGTTACATTGTATATCTCAGAACAATACTGCAGTGGCCATCATAAATTCTCATCTGGGCTTTTCCTGTTTAAAATTTACAGCTATATAGTGCTATATATAAAATCTGCAGCTAGTTCTTTAAAGGCTAAAATGGGATTTTCTTAGGAAATATTAACTTAAATGTTTTAGCCAAACAAAATGCTTTTGTACCAGTTCTAAACTAACAACATAATAGAGTTTTTAGACATTTTGATTTCCCTACCTTTTAAAAAAGATATGCTAACAAGATGTGTTAATATTTTTTCCTTAGCTCACCATCAATAAGCCGATCACAGCAGATTCAGCTGAACACAGATCTAAAAACATACTTGCAGAGAAACTGCAGTGGTGAGGTCTGTGTATTAAATGCAAGAGAATGGGTTAAAGATCATGCAGCTGCTTATATCGATAAGGAGCTTTCATCTTCCTTAGTGACGACATTGAGGACTATGCAGTCAGAAGATGTCATTTTCACTAGATTATGGATCTATAGTCATCACATCTACAACAAGCATAAAAGAAAGAATATTGTTGATTGGTCTAAGGAGCTCGCTCTGTCGGGGTTTAGCATGCCTGGGAAACCAGGTGTCATTTGTGTAGAAGGCCCACAGAGTACTTGTGAAGAATTCTGGTCAAGGTTTGCTTTTTATATACTATATTTTGCTTTTAAGTAACATTGGTGGTTAGAATATTGTGCTTGTTATGTTGTGGTTCTGTACATTTGTTCAGAAGGTGGGCAACTCGTAGTACTGGTAAAATCAACATCTTGTCTATGAAAAGTATATGTTTTATATTTTATCACAATACATTTACACCTCCCACCTTCTGCCACTTCTTATAGCCATCAGGGCCATAAATTAGCCAGCAAAGGGTTCTCTTTGACTAGTGCATGCAGTGCTTTTCTTCTTGCCTCCCCCGTCAGCTCTACGTCAGCTGTGTAGCAAGAGTATGCTGTACCACCAGTCTCGTTAATATTTTTTATATTGCTTGTATCATTTGTATTTTCGTGTAGTGTAGACCTGGTTCAGCTCTGCCCATTTAGTAATAAAGAAAAAGGGTAAGAAAATTCCTCGCACAGACAAGGTGGAGGTGTGTAGTTATATATAAATCCCAACTTTATTGACTGTTCTGTTCTGTAAAGAAACAATGCTCTGGTTCTAGGAATGTTTGCAGGTATGTATATGTTTGTTTGACTGATTGGCTAATGAGCTATAATGTGTATCCCAGGTATCTACACAATTGAAATTTGTCGATTCTCCTCCTTTCATAATCTGCTTCATAACATTTTATAAAATGTGCTACATTTTATGGATTCATATTTCCCTAATTGTTTTCAGAGTCAGAAGATTAACATGGCGGAGAATTTTAATTCGCCATAGAGAGGATATTTCTCTGGATGGGTCACATGCTGAGATGCAGAAACAAAGAAAATTCTCATCTTTTGAAGAAAAAGTATTTGATGCACATGGTACCAGAGGAAATCATATGGATCTGGGGCAGCTCTATCATTTTTTAGATGAAAAGGGTTGTGCTGATGTTTTTCAGATGTACTTTGGAGTTGAAGGATGTTAGATCAGCAAGGATCCAATCAATGAACTTGAAAAATTATGTGACAGTCTTGGATAAATTATTCTTTTCCCCTCTGAAATTGAAGTTGATCAGTGAGGGGAATGATTACTGCTCCTTTATAAGACGAATTCAGTTTTCCATGAAAATGAATATTCTTTTAAATAATGATCTATATGAATGCTTTAATATAAAGATATTTTTAAGGGAAAGATATGATGCTAATTACAAAGACAACGACAACAATAAACCAACAACAGCTTTTTGAGAGATGCTGTGTGCTATTTATAATCTGAATTATTAAAACTTCACCTTGGAGAAGTTGATTATATCTATGTAATATAGTAAAAAAGATCCAGATGTTTGTGAAAAGTGTTAGTTTTGGGCAGAGATACAGCACATCATATTATAGACATGGGATTATATGTGTGTGTGTGTAAAATATGGAATGGGAAGGGAAGAAAACATGGGTGTGTGATTTTCCAATGATTACAGTTATTTTAAGCAGGCATCTCTGGAAAGAAATGTTGTCTTTTACATTATTGAACACTGTATTTACATACACTACCAGCAGATGTTTTGATTCCAAAACATTTATTTAATATTTGCTGCTTATAATACTTGCAGTTGAACATGGTGCTTTATAAAGATAGGCTTAGATCCTCCAAAGCCTTACTCATACAAGTGGTTTTATTGACGCCAGTCGGACTAGTCACATGAATAAGGACTACTCACACAAGGAAAAGAAGGTTTGAAAGATGGGGCCCACAGAAAAGACACACTAGTTGCCCTAACAAGTTTATAATTGATGATTTCAATTCTATTATTATTTCTATTTTAGTAGTGTTTAAAAACTTTGATCAGGATTGGTGCCCCATTGAGCTAGCCACGTACATAACAAAAAGGCGGTCCTTGCCCCCAAAAGTTTACAGTTTGCAAACTCTTTTTTATATAATTACTCCCACTGACTTAAATAGAAATCATATGAATAAGAACTACACACATGAGAGAAAATTTGCAGGATCAGACTTTGTATAATTTTGCGTCAGATTTCAATAAATTAATATACATTAATTCATAAGAAAAGACTGAACTCTTTATTATTTTCCCTAAAGGTAGTATTCTACATTGTAACGAACTTTGAAAGTTGTGTACATTTAATAAGCAGTACACACTGAATGTCATGGATGGTGACATTCAAATCTCTTATGTAGGCAAAAATTGGTGAGACAGCTTTTGTGGTGGATATTTGATTTCAGCTCACAACACAATTCTGTTTCCTCTTTCGAACCCTGCTAAAGTATTGGTCTTTAATTGTACTAGAATGGATTTACTTAAGATTAAAAGAGTTATCCAAAGTGTACTAGGGAATTACAGTATTTTCAAAAATATTAGTAGAAGCTATGGTTTAAAAAGATATTTCAGTTTGGAACTATGTTAATGTAATTATCACAAAGATACAGCAGCAATTACTAAAAATGTTCATTTCCCATTTATCTGACCTCTGCAATCATTCTAATATAGATGTGTGTAACTATTTTTAAGGAATATCATATCAAGCTGTCTTGTTTTTGAAAAAAAAAAAAGCACTTCACGTACATCAAAATGTACGTTTGTGCATACTCCTGTTTTAAGTACTTTCATGCATTTATCTTCTGAAAGGCTATGTCATGACACTTTAGGAAGCTTTACAGTATGTACTTTCAGATTTCTCTCTTTGGTTGCCATTTAAATTAAAAAGAACAGGAGTACTTGTGGCACCTTAGAACAAATTTATTAGAGCATAAGCTTTCGTGGGCTACAACCCACTTCTTCAGCTTATGCTCTAATAAATTTGTTAGTCTCTAAGGTGCCACAAGTACTCCTGTTCTTTTTGCGGATACAGACTAACACGGCTGCTACTCTGAGACCTGTCATTTAAATTAAAGTGCAATAATTGGCCCATTTAAGTAAATTGAAGAACTTCCATTAATTTCAGTAGATTTTGGATCAAGCCCTATATGAAGGCTTAAATGTATTGAAGGGCAAATAGTGGATTGTAAAGTGTGCAGTTTAATGAAGTGTGACAGATATGGGAGTCTGCTGTCTGTCCACACACCGTAACATCATGGACAAGCTGCCATCTCTGGCTCGGTGGCAATCAGCCAGCCAGCACCCTGTACCTTGCATGCCAGCTGGGGAAGGTGCAGTGTTGGTGAAGGAAATTCTACATCTGTGAAAAACAGTATTACCAAATCTTGTGGCATGTGTTGTTTTTTTGTTCAAGCCCCAGTTCCTGGAATCAAGTGATTTCATGGGAATCTCAATTTTCGTAACAATAAATAAAAAATATTTCTATCCCTGGCCTCATTATTAAGGACAAAAGCAAAAACGTGTACCCAGTGTACCCTAGAGGCATGAAATCCAGACGGGACATAAAAACCTAACATTTATTATTTGTTAAAAAAAAACAACCTCGTGATTTTTAAGGCCGTTGATGATTTGGGGGGCCTGACTCCTGATTTTCCAAGTGCCGGGCATTGGCGATGGTGGTGGAAAAGCGACCAGACCATAGTAGCCTCCCCGGACGCGGGGGCGCGTTGTTGTGGCAGGGAAAGCGGGGGGTGCCCCTAGGGCTCACGGGCTCCGCGGGTCTGGGGGCACCAGCCCGAGGGGGGCTCCGGGCTCAGCGTGGGGCGGGCGGTGCAGGCAACGGAATCTCCCCTGCCATGGCACGGTCCCCACCCTCCTCCGCGCCGGGGGGAGGCTCCCTGGCCTGCAAGCGCCGCCCCCGCCGCTCCTCCCCGCCCGGCCCGGCTCGGCTCGGCTGTCTGCGGGTCCCACTCCGGCCGCTTCCTGCTGCGCCGCCGCCGCCGCCATGGGGGGGAAGAACAAGCAGCGAACCAAGGGCAACGTGCGGGTGAGTCCGCCCGGTCCGGGCGGCGGCCCCTCCAACCCCCAGGAGCAGGGGGTTGACTGGCCCCTTCCCCGGCCTGTGCGGTGGGGGACGTCTAGGCCTGGGGGGAAAGCGGCGGTGTCACCCCCTTCCCTTCCCCTGGTCTGCCCATGGGGTCCCAGCCCCACAGCCATGGGGCATGCGTGCCTGGGAGTGACACTGGGCCCGGGGTCTGCCCCACAGGGTGATCGGCCTTTGGAAGAGAAGAGCAGGGGGCTGGGACACTCCTGCTCACCTGAGACGGGAGATCTTCCTAACAGGTGTTACCCAGCCCAATCTAAGCTGCCAGGGTCAGGGCTGTGCTAGAAAAGGTTCGCCAGTGGCAAACCCGGCCCGTGGCGATGCACAGTATATGGGCAAATAAGTGCTTTTCTGGGTGTCGTTCATAACCATTACCCCCAATGAAATAAACCATACTAACAAAAACATGTTTATGCTGGGACAACCGCAGCTACACTAGGGCTTTTGGTCATATACCAATGTTGCAAAAAACCATATCCTTAGCCAACATGGCTACATCCTCAAAAATGTCTAGTGTAGTCTGGTCTAAAGAGCAATAGTGCTTGCTTACATGCTTGAGGGAATAATTCCTTCCTTTGCAGGAGTCGGTGGGTGGAATTCTGTGGCCTGTGTTAGGAGGCCAGGAGATCAGAGGTCCCTTCTGGCCATAATCTGAAATGTTACACAGGTTCACAGGCCATACTCTAAAGCAGTGGTTCTCAACCTATTTACCATTGTGGGCTGCATATGCATCTCTCTATGTGTTACATGGGCCATATAGCCACACAATATATATACTAGCTGTATGGCCCTGAGGATGTCACATGGGCCACCTCTGGTTGCTGATTGGGCTGCAAGTGGCCCACGGGCCTCATGTTGAGAACCACTGCTCTAAAGTTTGTTATCGTCCACAAGGAAATAATTGGCTACCCAAATTTGTATGCCTGCTCTCACTTTTTTGTTAATTCATATGGGGACCATGACCAGCAGCCAACCGGTGTAAAACGAAGCAGGTAGAAAACCCTTTTATATTTAAATTGGGGATGCAGCTTGCAGAGACTCAGCAAGCAATGTGACCATCCTGAAATACAGCACTGCCTTCAGGTGCCTGTCATCTCCATAGGTGGATTCTTGTCTGCTAGTAGAACTGGCAGGACTAGCATGATTGCCTGGTGTAAGATGGTGACTTTTCATTGGGGCTAGTCATATGCGAAGTTAACTATGTGCATAAACGTCTGTGGGCTCATGACCTCATTTCCTCTGTTGCTTGTGCAGGCCTTTTCAGACAGCTGTGGGTAAGAGACTTCTTTTAAGAAGAGAAAAATGTGATCACAAATTGGCATGGGTCTTGAACTAATGTAGTATCTGTAATTACACTTAATTTATTTTAAATGTACAAGTTTTCAGCTTCTGTTCTGTATAGGCTCTTCTAGTGCCACATCAGCATGGTATCTGAGGCCAAGATCCACAGAGGTATTTAGTTTCAGTGGAAGGTAGGAGCCTAGATATAGAACCCTGCAAATCTGTAGATATCCACTTTATATCTGCAGATATCGACGGACCATGTTTGTGGATTGTGAACGGATGCAGATCCAAATTTTATATGTAGAGCACTGCAAATCTGCGGATATCCGTGGACCATGTTTGCGGATCGGATGTGGATACAAATTTTGTATCTGCACAGGGCTTTACCTAAATACCTCTGTGGATCTGGACCTGAGTGCAATCCAGAAATGATGTGACATCTGTCATGTGTGGTTTGTTCATTCTCTTCCCAGGGGAAGAATTGTGTGTGCAGTGTAATGTTTAGTTTGGGTAGGTATTTTTTTTTAATATGTACACACTGCTATGTGTTTATGTTAGGGAAGACAAAGGAACGCTGGGAAATGCATCATTATGACAGATTTTAAATTCACAGAAATTACTTAGTTCAAAGTTATGGTGGCCACACAAGTGTAGCTTAGCCACCATGTCTGTAGTAATTTTATGCCTAATGATCACAACATTTCTATTATTTGTTTTTTTGTTTTTTTAAAAGAAAACACCAACAACTTGTGAAAGTTAACTGATACTTTGTTACACTTTTGCTGAACCTTAGGAACAAGGGCTGTTAATTAATTGCAGTTAACTC